TCTATCATTAAAAATTGACATAATATTTTCAATTGTTTCATTGGATTCCAGTTCATGCTCTTCAGAATAAAATCCTCCAAATAGTTAAAAACATATATCGTCATTTGAAACCAAGAATTCCATCTTGTTGTATTTGGTAATGGCATAAATCGTAAAGTTAATTGTTGAGTATTTTGAGAATTTAAGCTATTATCAAAATTAGTTGAAATATCTTTAATACCATGTTGCCAAAGATAATCCATATATCTAGATCGCCATGCTTTAGAATGAACCATAGTTTTTTTAATATTTAGAATTAATTTTCGTATTTCATCAAAATAATATATATTTGTCCATGCTTGGCTAACAAATAAAAGTTGTTATTATAAATACGTAATTAAAAATATTAAATATAAATAATTTATAAAATACAAACCTTATCAATTGAATAATATGTGCACAACATGTATTATGTCGAATTTGTGGCATTATGGATTGTAAAATTTCTCTAACAGATTTTTTCATATAAGCTGCTGAATCTGATACAATAAGATATGGAAAGGTAAAGGTATCTCTCATTCAACTAAAATTTTAAGAACTAATTGACTTATGTAACATTATTCACTTGAGACATAAAATTAACTAAAATTAATTTTGTTTGACCTTGATAACTTAAAAGTGTATTAATTACACTACAGACTTTTTTGTCTATAGTTTCATCAATTATAATAGAAACTGGTTTACCACAAAATATTCCACAGAGTTGTTCATAATGTTGTCCAAAAATACTACTTAAATGATGTTTTTGAATACTATTAGTTAAAGGAATAGAACTACTCTCTTTACAGTACTTCTTAAAAAAATCTTGAAGTTTATTTATTTTCCAAGTGAAATATCTGTTTCTACTCAGGCTTTTACTAAATTATGAATTATTTGTTTTCTCCCATCTGCGACTACTATTGTGATATGAAGAGACTGTTGACAGTTATTATAATTGGCAGTGACATATGAACAGCAGGAATCTTTGTAAGCTTTTGAATTTATACAATGTGTAGTAATAGTGACCTTATTTTGTCAACCAATACTTATATTACAAAACTTGCAAAAAAGTTTATTATTATCTGTAAAAAGATCCTCTGAAAATTCTCATGCCTGTGAATAAGGTGAAATAATTTTTGATTACTCCGTTATTTTTTTATGGTGATTTAATAAAATCTATATCAATTTTGACAATTTTGATTGGTTTAAAATCATATGGTTAAATCTATCTTGAATTTACATGGAAAATTTTCAAATATTTGTATAAGTTTGAAATATGCTAGAATATTTGAATTTATATGGACAAATTTGATACTAAATTTTTATGTGTCCCTGGTTTTGGTTATACCATCACATGATTTTTTCAAAATCAAATTAATCAAAAATCTTTATTATATATATGATAAAAATACAGGATAAATAAAAATCTATAAATAATTATCTCGTGATATAGTAACTTTGTACTGCCTTCCATTAATGTTTGAGATAGAGATACAGAACCATGGTATAACAGGGATATATTTGTGATTAATATATTATGTAAAAGTAATAGAGTTTCTATAAAGTTAGTTACAATATTTGTATCTGATACTTGTATAGGGATCTCAGCTGATTGTATATGATAATATCTATAGATATTAGTATTATCTTTAACAAGAATATTTAAATGTAATATATTTTCTGCTACCTGTACTTCAATTATTCCAAATTGTTCTTTTTCTGATTTAAGAGCTTTGCGAACATAATACATACCATTATTATACTCACGTCACAGTTTTATTTCATCATTTATTTTTTTTTGTTGAGTGTAATGTAGTCAAGAACATTCAAGATATATAATCTCAAAGAAGACATTGAGATATTTTATCACATACATTATATCAGGTCATCTCCCCATATGTCCTTCACCTTTTCTATCAGTACTAGTAATACTTTGTCATTCCGATATACTAATAAATGAAGATATCCTAAAAGGTAAATTTTTTAATATTGCCCGAATTGACAAAAAAATAACTGTTGATTGGTAGGTTCTTTCATTTAACAATTTTGCAAAATCAAAATTAAATACAGGATTAATTTCTTTATAATATCTGATATTTTCTCTTCTGATTCTTTTTAAAATTCATTATGGATTAATTTTTCTAATACTATATTTTAATAATTACAATTAACAAAGCTGTTACAAATTTCTTATATATTTCTTTAATCTTCAATATAAGAATAAGTTTCATCTGATGAACTGATTTCTAATATTATTGAATATGTATCAAAAATACTAACTTCATTATTAAAGTTAAAAGTAAGACTTTTGTTCACAAGTATACCTTAAATATCTTTTTTAAATTCATTGGTAATTATTCTACAATTTTTGACTTATTACTTGTAATTTGACTTGCTAAAGGATTTTTTCAAGTTAATTTGTAAATGGGTATATTTATAATAAATCTATTAATTCATTTTAGAAAATAAATATCAATAAATATTTATTAGCAAAGTTTGTGGTTTATAATTAGATTATTTTACAAAACTTGCTTGTATCTTTATTATTCATATATTATATTTATATAAAAATACATAATTAGTGTTATATAATATAAATATATAATAAATAATATCTTAGGTCTTACAAGACCAATTCAGATGGTTACATATGATAATATAATAAATAAAATAGAATAAAAGAAATAAAATAGAATAGAAATGAAATAATTAATATATGGGATTACCACATTGTAAATCTAAAGTTAATCTCATTTGCTATCATTTATTATCAGAATAAAAGATAAAAATAAAAAGAAATAAATAAATAAAATAAAATAAAAAAGTAAGTGTAACTACATAAAATATTGTGTAAAGGATGTGACAACAAAAACTGTTATATTCCTTCTTTCTTAAAATTCAATGTCCTCATAAATTCTCAAAAGTTACTACTATATTGGTAGCATTGGTAAGGTTTTCCTTAGATTCCTATATAGCATTATATAAGAGGTAACCTTTCTATTTGATCAGGTAGAAGGGTTTTTTACACACTAATTTCTTGTCTAAAATTGTTTCAACTTCATATTCCTCATTATTAGTTTCAGGAATAATTTCTGGTAGTAGTAAGATGTCATGATTAAAGTTATTTAAATTTTCTTTATAGGATTTCAACATAAATATATGGAAGACAAGATGGATCTTCAAATTATGTAGTAACTTTAGTCAGTATGCAGTTGTGGAAATAACTTTCTCAATCATATATGGTCCTATAAATTTAGGGGCAAGCTTGCGAGTTGATTAATTAGCTTATACAGAATCATTAATATTTACAGCATTTACTAGAACTTTATCACCTTCTTCAAAAGTAAGTTCACAATGATGTTTATTGATATACTACTATTGTCATTCTTGAGCTAGGTGTAAATTATCTTTTGTTAAATTAATAATATTTTTCCATCTTAATAAAAAGTCATCAGTTGTGATGACATTTGTTTATTTTTCAGCTGCAAAAGTTATAGGTGTATTTGGGTATTGTCTTAAGTCAACTTCAAAAAGTGTAAAGCTAATAGATAGGTTTTTAGAGTTATTGTAAGCAAATTCTACAGCAGATAATAATTCATCCCAATTGGTTTGTTGGTAATTTGTATAAGCTCATAACATTTCTTCCATTGTATAATTCATATATTCTATTTAGCCATCTGTTTATAAGTGATGAGAGATTGACATTAGAAGTTTTGTTCCCAATTTTTCAAAGAGTGTTTTTCAAAAGTGACTGATAAATTTAAGACCTCTATCAGAAATAATAACTTTAGATAGTCCATAGTTTTTAAATATAGTATTAAAGAATATTTCAGCTACTTGTGAAACTGTTACATTAGTAGTGATAGAAATAAAGTATGTTTGTTTGGATAATTTTTCTATAAAAATAACTATGGTATTATGTTTCTTTGTAGTTTTTGATAGTTGTATTACAAAATCCATTGTAATATAGTCTTTACGATATTCTGGTATATCTAGAGATTGTAATAATCCAGTGGGTACTTGATTTGAAGTTTTATTTCTTTGATACAAGTTACAACTAGGACATATTTCTTTATATCTTTTTCCATTTTTGGCCAAAAATAATTTTGTTGAACTAACTCCAAAGTTTTCTCAGTATCCAAATGTCCTGCAATAATTAAATCATGACATTCATATAACAAAAGTATATGTAATTTCTAATTATTAGGAATTGCAAGTTGTTTTCTACTTTTGAGATAAATTAATTTATCATGAAGTTCAAAGTTGTATACTTGAAGTTTATTTCCTTTGAAAATTAATGCTTGATAAATTGGTTCAAAGTAAGAATTATTCTTATATTCATTAATTATTAGTTCTTTGTCAATCAGATTAATATTAAGAGTATTAATATTTGAGAGTTGAAAAACTTGAGATAATGTGTTAGCTACTACATTTGCTTTTTCTAGATAGTATTTAACATTAAAGTTGGATGATTATGAGACTTCAAGCCATCTAACTTGTCTTCTAGAAAGATTTAATTGTGATTTAGTAAATTTTGAACAGTGTGATCTGTAATAATTATAAATAATTTTTCTTCAAGATATGAATGTCTAAGTTTAATGGCATAAACTATTACAAATAATTCTTTTTCATGAGTTACATAGTTTAATTCAGCAGAATTCAATTTTATAGATTCAAATGCAATAGGTTGATCACCTTTACCATGGTCTTGACTCAGCACAGCTCCAATGGCAGTGTCAAAGGTATCAGTAGTTACAGTAAAAGTTTTAATTTGATCTGGAATAAGTAAAACAGGTGCAGAGGTTAATTTCTCTTTTAATTTGTCAAAAGTTTCTTGTTGTTCTGATTTCTATTCATATATATATTCTTTTGTAATAAGGTAGTTAAAGAGGAGGCAATGGTAAAAAAATTTTTACAAATTTTCTATAATATAAAACTAGTTCCAAAAATGATCTAAGTTCTGTTAAGTTGATAGGATTAGGTCATTTTTTAATTACTTCTACTTTCCTTTTATCAATGGTGATTCCTTTACCAGATATTTAATGTCCAAGATATTCAACCTTGTTTTTGAATAGTTCACATTTTTTTAATTTGATATATAAACTATGCTGTAACAGTTTTTGTTGTCACATTCTTTACACAGTATTTTACATAGTTTACGTTTACCTTATTTTATTTCTTTTTACTTTTATCTTTTTATTCTGATAATGAATGATAGCATATGAGATTAACTTTAGATTTACAATGTGATAATCCCATGTGTTAATCATTTCATTTCTATTTTATTTTATTTTTTTTATTTTATTTTATTCTATTCTATTTATTATATTATCATATGTAACCATTGTTATCCATGTAAACCTTCTACAATTTACAAAGACAACAGGATAAAATAATACTAAAACTAATAAACAAAACT